CGTTTACGTCGAATTCGACTGTTCTTCTTGAATGTTCTGTGTTTGGATTTCTGAGAATAGGGGAGATGTGATGTTGATGAATTCTGCATTGGCAGTAGTCCAGTTCTTTAGAGATGCATTTTCCTCTTTGCTGAGGAATGATTTATATGAATCAGGCCCTGGATTGCATAGTACGATTGATGAAATCCCGCCTTTAATTTGAACTAATTTTTCGTATTTCATGTTTGACTGCCAGTCTTTCTGTGCTCCAATGAAATCGTTCCAATGTTTGATTTTCAAATATGATGAGGGACGTCATCAATGACGTTGTAGACGGCGTTGTTGTCAAACATTTTTGGACTGAGATCAATATGACCTTTGATGTAATTATGATGTCCTAATGACCTTGCTCAAACGGTTTTCCCAAGGTAAGAATGGCCCTCAATGAAAATAGATTTAGGTCTATCTGGCCGCGCAGTGGCATCTTCACTAATATTTTCAATGGACCATTGACGTAATTCGTCTAATGAATTTGGATTATATGGGGATATATATCTCCGCATTGGAGTTGGAAATTCCTTATCTAAATTGGCAGAGATGTTATGCCGTTGAATGACATACGACTTAGGATCTTTCTCTTTTATGATCCTCATAGCATTAGTCTTTGAAATTGCATTTAATGCTTCTGCATATACCTCTGCAACTGTTGATGGACATCCTCTTGCACTTCTTCCATCTATTTTGAATGATCCATCTTCAATGAAGTCTCCATATTTGCTAATGTAATTGTTGACGTCTGAAGATGATCTAGCTCTACGAATGTTTGTATGGAAATGTGCTGATCTGGAAGGGGATATGATATCGAACTATCTGTTGTTTGTATATCTGAATTTGCCTTCGAATTGTATGAGAACATGGATATGCATATTCCCATCCCGATGCTGTTCTTGAGATACACGAATATATTTTGGAGGAATTGGGAGATTTAAAGATTTAAGTTTCTATAAACATTCTTCTTTAGAGAGATAACATTGTGGCTATGTGATGAAATAGTTTTTGGCATTTATTTGGAATATTTTTGCTTGACGGGTCATTTTAATAAATGATGATGTATATAATGGAAATTGCAAAGTAGGGGCTTCAGGAATTGAATGCGTTTAAATTGGTGTGTGGTACCGATGACGTCAGATTGGTACCAATAGCTCTCTATATTACTCATCGCATTGTATCGGTATCAATATATAGTTTGGTACCAAATGAACAGGAGAATGTGTACCATTAGATAAATTACTAAAATATC